ATGATGAGAATGAACTACGTCAATTATTTAAAGGTTATATATAGGTTAATTATTATATAAAAAATATTAAACGATTACGTATTTCTTCGTCAGTAGCCAAAGTAAAAGTTAACGAGCTTCGCTTAAAAAGTTGAGAGCTAAAAAGCCCAAACGGGACCAAATAAACTGGTTGATATCACGTTTGTTAGTAATCAGGCGATGGATTAATACCGCATAATTATGCCGTTAATGAAAATAAGCGCAGGGCCGGATTTGAGAGGCCGTGGGTGTTAACTTATATAAACATGCCTTAATACGTGTAATATTTATTTAAATTAATAAAGAAATAATGAACGATCGAATATCATGTTTCAAGCACTTTGAGTATAATGAAGATGGAAAACCTTGAATGGTTTAAATAAGAACAAAATGAAGTATAAGCAGGTAACTAAAGGGTCTCTTATAGATTATGATCTGATTACCAGTGATTACGTATATTTTTGGAGTTGTTAAAGAATTCACCAAGAGGATTTATGAAGAAATACAATTTCAAAACGTACTACTATGAGCTCAGTAAGCAACTAGTGTAAAGAAATATTTTTCAAAACTTTAGAGCACAAGTTGTTGCGTTATAAAAGTCAGTTGAATCTCAGCGGGAATGTGAGGACTACCGCACCAGCAACAATATTTGATATTGATATTGTTGGCATCAATCGGTGTCGTTAGCTTGATCATGTAGTAGTTATAAAAAAAAACCGATGTTCTAGCAAAAATAATGTTTGATTTTGCAGTGGGAGAAAAAAGATATACGCTAAACATCTTGTTTATTGATAAAGACGAAGTAGCGATAATTACTCCTAAGCATATTCGAACCAGTATCTATTGAAGATTAGTTGTTAGGGCCACTTAATTAAGCAAATAAGTATGTATACTGTGAGGAGTAGTCAACATTTGCCCTCTTTCGTTCCCAGTGAAACGCATGTCCTTTATTATCATATTATATCGTATTGTCTGATGTCCTTTGCTTGATACATTCCAAAGCGTAAGGAACCAATATCATAAAAAATTTGAATTTTAGAAGAATTGCTATAATTGAAAAAGCGTTATATTCTCGTATACTAGTGTACATATTAACCGGAAAAAAATTTTCGATCCTGAAAATAGGAGTCGATGATATTATTTAATTCTTCTTTGTTTTTAATATAGTCATTTTAACGTCATAATGCTTTTAACACGGTATAAGAAAAATATTCCAAAAAATTTATTAAATATTGTAACGATTTTTGTTTAATGATAGAAATGTTACTAGTTTATGTATGAGTATAGTCAAATAGCGGGGCAAGGGTTAAGGTCAAGGAAAAATTTTTTGAAATTTAAAGTAATATGAACCATTATTTTATATAACTTTCCTTTATACTTCCATGTTTTTACATCTGTTATGATAACAAACTGCATATTTCACAATATATTCCATAAAAATATTGATGACTATCACATATCCGAAATATATTGTATAAGGTCAATTGAATTTATACTATGTATAAGTTTACGTTATAATCCATTGCCAATAAAAATATTCCAGTTATAATATATTATAATATTATTTGAATGCAAAATCATTGAACTTGAATTTTTAAAATAAACCATGAAAAAACAACATTTGCACGTATTCCAAACATTTAAGGGATGATATAGTTTGGTGCAATTTTACACCGTGGTATGGTGGGAAAACCACCCCAAGTGAGGAGTGTACGAACTGGCCTGATGTTGAACACTGTAAACATAGTCAGAAATTTAGATGCATTCGAATTTTAATTTTTTTTTCTTTTTTTGCTGTCCGTAACAACCCCTTAAAGCCGTACCAACAAAATATAAAATTCGATATCATCACGATCAATAATGTGCATCCAATCAAACGTAAAATAAAACCAAATATAAAATTTTTGTAATTTTTTGTATTTTGTCATGGTATATTGTTTTGTACGGATTCCTGCATATAAATTAAATCCAAAAAGATACTTAAATAAAATCAATATAATCCAATATTGCAATTCTCCGTCCCGTCCTATCATCAGATAGCGCAGTGCAACCACTGTAATATGACTTCATACCTGCTTTTATATGTCATATTCAAATCCGTAAAACGGACTCTTTTGGCGTCTGCTGTATTATTCTACTAGTTCCTTTAATAAGTTAAGACATTGCCTTTTATGTGACAACATCTCGTGCTACTGTATCCGCCGCTACTTAAACAATCAAAGAACACTAAAGAGGTATGAGTGTAAAAAACTTACCCCTTAAAAAATTGGAACGCGTCGCTCTCCAATGTTGTTGATTGCCATTCTGGCATTTAACGCACCTTTCACTATAAACAAAGAGATATGAGGGATGATAAGATTTAACAAACGAGCTGTATTCCATTCAAGTTTTCCAATTTGTTGCATTGAAATAGAATTCTCTGGATTTTGATATGAATTTACACAATTTAAAGAATTTTCAACTCTTTCTCATGCTTTTTATTGTAATTGCGTTGTTGAATTTATTATATTTTTTCTTCTATCCGTACTTATGGGTATCAAATGAATACAGTGAAAACCAGAAAAGTTAAACTAAACAAAATAATACAATATATGATAGTACAATAATAATGAAGATAGCACATAAATATATGTACCTATATTGTATAATTATCACCCCTTAGGGGTTTAGAGGTTTGTGAATTTAACAATTTTTATCCTGGTAGTGATATATGAGAGAAAACTGCAAACCGTCCGCTTTATTACATTGTTGTCAATAAATGAAAAATGTTTTTAATATATTCAAACTGTGTAGAAAGTATCAGGAATTTATAATTTAATAAATGCATATAAAATACAACTTCATAATTTTTCCATAATTTTTAACAGTATGTTTACATCATCTGTTTTTGCAATTATATTTTCCATTCTTCTGCGATGGCGCAAAACGAAGGAATGTGATCGACTAAGTACTATCTCAAAAGATATTCCATAATTTATTTTTATATAGATGTGTTCACATCTCTTGATTTTGTGATTATGGTTTTAATACTTCTGCGATGGCGCAAAGCGAACATTGTGTAAGGAATGTGATCGACCAATTACTCTCTCGGCTAACGTGGATCTATGGTATATGACATTTTTTGGTCCTGAAGCTAAAATAATGAGCTGCAGAAAAGCGTTTTGAGTCTTTCTCGGTCATAAAATACAGTGATGAAATTTGAATCATCATTTAATCAATGAAAAATGTAAGAATGATTATGGAATAATATGTTAAAAATAATATTTCTAGAGATTTTACTGTATTATTTCGTATTTTACGTTAACAAATAATTCACTAGAATGCACACACTTTCGTGATGATATACTGAACAAATTTACAAATTATTTGGGTTTGTCTGGTTTAAATATGTACGCGTGCATGTTTGATTTATCAGAAAATTAATCGTTTGTTTATTTTAATGACGGTGGTTAATTTTAAATAAGTTTTCTGAATTTTCAACCCACTTATTTTACGTATTTATCTGTCGGTCTTTTCATAACAACTGAACTGTGGTTAAATAAAATTCACACTAATTGCTTGTGAATTTCTCAATTTTTATCCTTTGAACTGTACAAATAGAGTTCAAAAATTTTAATTTATCTGTAAGTAACATAAAATGGTTAATAAAAGATGAAAACACTTAACGATATGCAAGTATCAGTATGCACATTGAGATACCTCGTAGAGATATCAGTCTTTTGGTGGGTTTACTTACAGGTCTTTGCAGACTAGGGAACCATGCTAGCAGATTGAAACTCCCTTTCAATAATACCTGTCGCAGCTGTGGGGAAGACGATAAAAGTGCTTCTTATCTACTATGTCTTTGAGGATTTTCTTTTTGTTTTCTTGAGGATCTTGATCAATTACAAGACCTCCGACTAAACAGCATTCTAAACATCACCAAAGGTTCTATGTGGTTTTAAAACCTGAGTTTCATCAATATACGGAGCCAATAGGCGTAAGTGGAATCTTAGGGATCGGCGGAATAACCTACCCTAACATAAAATAGCGATATAACAGAATAGATTAAAACAGAATTAGCGTGGCATAACGACCATTGGCGTTCTTTTGTGGTAACAATTTGTTCTAGCCGAATAGAAAACATTTATCTTTCCAAATTAAGGCTAGAGTATGTTGTTTAGTTGATTTTAACAAGTACATAGTATTAAATATGTCAAAGCGACATTCGCTCAATATTACACTCCAAGATCTGTTTGCTTTGGTTCAGGCATACAATGCAACTAGAGACCTCACTGGAAGCCTGGCAGAGACGGAATGTTTTTCAATTTGGGAAACCCATGTTATTGAGGTGGTCATGCAGGTAAGAATATGTCGACAAGTAATTTGTCTGTAACTTCAGCCTTGCCATATTGAAGGAGAACCACTAAGTGTACTCAACTAATTGATTAGTTAAGTATGGCACTCTCAGCTCTGCCATACTGGGGTAAAAAGACTCTATGTTGTTAAAAAATTGTTTAATGATATTATTTGATTTGTATTATTTAATACTACTATTTATAATATTTAATATATACTATATATTATGAGGCATAACAATAATAACAATATACATATGTATATGTCATATACAAAGTTTTAATACCTTGCCATTACATAATTAACCTATTCTTTATTTACCATAAATATATTACAAATATCTCTATTGATTTTTAGGCTATTCTGAACTATCATCTGAATTCATAATGCTTACTTATGGTATTTATTATAGCGGGCTGTGTACTATATTTTCTAAAGCTTCAAAAAATAAATATAATATGATATAATAATAATATTCGTGCTGTTCGAAACTTCAGTTATGTTAGTTCTAGGGAGTTGCTATTTAAGTAGTGTCAATCCAAACATTCGAATCCAATATATTCCAACAGCTTGATTCTTTTCATAAATTATTCTTTTGAATATTGTATGTTTCATATTTATATTTTATTAACAAAAACTTCAAGTTAGAGTTCTCCGCTTTCACCAATTACTTTTTTATTTAAATTTAAAATTAATGATTTACACATTGACGGCACATATTGCCTTGTAATCCTGTTTTTACAACGCAATATATTTTTACCTTACTTAAGCAACCAGGTGTCATAGACTTTATTTCCTTTTCTTAACGATCGTGGCACGTTCGTCTTATTTTCAACATTCTTTGATTTTACTAAGTGTAAAAAAATAGAGGGGGAAAAATTGAAAAAAAAAATTACGATTTTTTTCATAAAGTTACGCACCTTGTTAAATTCTATTATCCTTTTTTTAATTATGGTTATTGATCATATGTTTCCTGTTTTTGTATAAGGACCAATTTCTTACAATCCAGCTAGGATAGCAGCTGCCTTTGGAATAGAAAAATTTTGTACGGTATGTTACGTGTTAGCTAAAATATTACACTAGATTTAGGGTTATTGTTGTATAAATAATTATTAAATTTATTTCTTCATATCAACCACAAGAAGTGAGGGGACTTGGGAATGAAAACAAACAAGTTAAAGATAAGAAATTACGAGAATTTGATTTTGTTACTGTAATGGAATGTACTGAAGTTTATAATATTAATAATCCCGCTGATATTTATATTTAAGCGTTTCAATTGATAAATATATCAACCCATAACTTCCATTAAAACTGGAAAAGATCCTTGCATTGTATGTTTATACCTGTTCATGCGTCTACTACCTCAACTATCAAAATTGGTCGAAAAACTTATACCATATATAATAAAATAATTTATTTATTTAAAGCACTTGTTATATTGCCAATAATATGAGTTCTAAAAGTTGTAAACAATATAAAAAATTTAAAAGTATTAATTATGTTTTATGTTGTGTTTGCCTCGTTGTTACAAAGGCCTTTGGTAAAGTATGGCATGTAGTTTTACTTACAAATTGAAATCTTTACTTCGAAAAGAATTCAGCCTCATATTGAAATCATATATACAGTCCAGAGCTTCTAGGGTGGAAAAAATAAACGAGCATATTAAAATTTGTATTTCACACCAAGCCTTCGGTCTATTCTGCTGATTAGTTCCTTGGCTCAAATGGTGTCATGAGTCCAATAAGCACTTTTGCATCATAATATTGTCACATTCTTGTTTTGTTGCTTGTGTAGAGAAGAAACTCTATAAAGTAGGTTCTATACTTTTTATTGACGCAAAAGGGCTTAAAGACCTACTTTAAACCCATAAGGGGGCGCAGTAGACAAGACGCAGTGCCACATCGCTCAATAATAATAATAATAATGTGTAGAGAGGAGGATTAGATCTACCCCGTACAGTTGAGGAACCTTTCAAGTTCATTAATACTAAAAAGTACCAGCTCTCAGTGATTATTGATTATTGAGAACCAATTTACCTGGTCGCCTGCTTTCTAGCACCATGACTGCTGATGACTGTAACAATAAGAAACATTTTCGGCATTTTGTTATATCTTCTCCAAATTAAAGGTATACATCTTATAGCAAAAACTATATTAGCTACATTTACCTATGACACAGTAATCCTCGGAATACACAATACAGTAAAAAATATTATAACTGCAGTAGATAGAGTGGATCTAAAAAAATGCTACTCGAACTGAGTATTGTAGCAGCTATGACAGCAAAATCAAATATAATTATAACTGAATAATGGAGGAATGAGTTTCTGATATTAACAGAGCAAAATGTCACGACGACAAACTGTTCTGAAAAAAACATTAAAATAAAAAAATAAATTATCTAACACACATTCGGTATATATAACAAAATCCTACTATATAATTAGATATTCAAACTAGTCTGACTTTATAAAATAGAGTTATTTGAGCATTTTCAAAAATTTCGGGAGAGCATCCAATGACATATTACTCAGGAATATTTACATTTTTAGCGACGACTGCTCGGTATTTATGTCTCTTGCTGATGTTCTATCAACATCTAAGCTTGTATCGGCACATTGTTTTTATTGCTTTTTTTTATTGAGATGGTGCAGTTATTGATTGAACAGAAATGAATACTATATCGTGAAGACAATCGTAGTAAGTATAGAACCGATGAGCTGATTAAAAGTGACACACAACTTTTCAAACTATTAATTTCAAGAAGTTAAATTGGGTGTACTTACAGAGTAGTGACTCAAAGAGCCATGATAACTGCACATATGCTAATTTGTACATATGCCATGTTCTATGTACAATCAGAGGAGAATTAAACAATTTATTAGTTTTTCTAGATACTCACTGTCCAATACAAATGCTTTACTATGAGGATACTGTCTCAAAAATAGGTATACCTTATGGAATTCATTTCACTACTATTGTCGTCACTCAGCATCAATCGGCGATGAAAAAATGTTACTCATTTACTCTATGACACGGCCCGGGCCTAACCTGAAGACGTATATTCTCTTTATGGGCTGCGGTTGAGGTCATTAATATTAGCATCAAAGACATTGCCAGTTTCCTTAAAAGCCAGTAGTAGTGACATGTCCACTAACAAAGTCTCTTAACATCAACGAATCTACTTGCGTGGTCTAAGCCCAATGCGTATTTTTGAAACAGTAAACCGCTGATATATCGCTATATCACATTATTTACATCGACATAAAATATTTACGTGGCAAACACTAAATAAGTCATTAGAATAAAGAAAAAAGAAACAAAAATATATTGAAGACATTTCAGGTTTCAATAGATGGTAACAAGGTAAGCTACCCCATCGTTTTCCTTAAGTTTGAATAAATTTTACTTTATGGAATTATGGAATAAAAATTTTAAATTTAAAACTAATATTCCTATTAGTTATGTAACTAGTTTTAGTTTTTTTTAAGTCATTATATAATAAAATATTTTATAATTTCAATTATTTGAATTAAATTATATTACAATTTTATTAATTTAAATTTAATTAAATTTTCATGATTATTAATATTTTATTAATATTTTTTATCTATATTTAATATTTAATATCTATTTTAATTTTGGCAAGTTACTACAAATGTGCAAAGTGTGTTTTTTTGTGTTCTAAATAATTTGTACTTAATCGTGAACACCCCAATTATACCATATATCATGTGTTTAACACTTCTTATTAAATAATAATAAAGTCATCACTGCCATATATACGTAGTAAGTTGATAAAACTTTTTTATGCTGAGTGTTTGTATATATTGACCGCAAATTTTTTCCAACCTTCTTATATATACCATTGAAAATTGTTTCCTTCTTCTCTAAAACTCATTTATACATAATCATCTATGTATGAATATATATGAAAGTATATCAACATATATAGAAATTATCTAAGCTTTTTGGTGCTCACAATTCATAAAAATTAAACAAACCGAAAGTAAACAAAATTCTAAGAGCATTCATAGCACATCAATGGCTTACAGCAACTATCAAAAAGGAAGGGTCGTTCCATTCCGTCCGTCCAGAGAATTTAAGAAGCTTTGTCAGCGGTAATTACAGAAGTGGTTGTACTGCTGGTGGCTGTAGTGCTGTAATGTTGTATTTCATTTTTAGTGACTGCGATTGCATTGATTTTCTTTCATGTTTACGTCACACAAAAGAGCAACAAAATAAAAAATAAAAAAAAGAAGAAAAGAGGAAGAAATAAACAAACGTGAAAGATACTTTATCGCTTCCAATCGTCAGTAATTCAGAAACTTTAATGTAACTGACCGGAATACAGGCTTTCGGGTATGAAGTGTGAATTTAAATGGCAGTGCACCGAAACAAAAATATAAAGGAAAAATAAATAAATAAATAACACCACTTGAGGGCTACTTAGGGTAGTGAATTACGATGCTGTAAATATATATGTGACAATATTTTATTTTTTTCCATAAAAATTATAGAGAGACGTTTGCTGGCGGGAATGGGAGTTTCGAAAACTGGCTTAAATTAAATTAAAATTAAAAGAATATGAAAATATTTCTGTAATATTTCAATCAGTGCTATCTTAAATTTTTATTGTGTAATCAAGAAAATTCGATTATATAGGCAAAGGGTTAATAGATTCAATAGCACTTTGACTACATTGGAAGCTATTCACCGAATTCGATTTAATGTGAAATTCTAATTGCTGCTATTGATGGTTGATAAAATTACTGAGACCACACTTATGAAATTTGTGCCAGCATATTAGTAACATTTTGAATTTAATTATTAAAAAGTAATTGATATTGCTTGAGATTGAAATTAATCTGAAAATATTAAAAGGTCGAATTATGGCACGAAATTGACAACGAAACACTTAAAATATTACTTGGGAATATAATTTAACTAATAGCATTAGGAACAAGGAATATTGGGAATAAGACATATAAATTATAAAATATATATATCAAATTTATAAGCACTATGGCATCCATTGGCAGCCTAGATTTTCATATGTTCTAATTACGATATTTTGGTTTTTGAGTTCGTTATAGGTACCTATATATTTGTAAAAATTTTGATATTTACTTAATGTAAACTTTTTTACAAATCTAACAATATCTTTTCTCATACAGTTTAATGAAAGTCATATAAAAAAATTGGTCTCATTTCTTAGTAATGGCAAGAGATGAGATGAGATAATAAGCACTATAGTTCCACTCTGTATTTTTAAGATGCTGCAATTATACAAATGATAACCAATTAAGAAGTTAATAACATATTGATTACTATATATTATTCATATAGTTATATATTGAGTTCAGATCTATTTTGATTATGAAATCTATCAAGCATTTAGTTGTTGTCTAGAACGTGTTGCTTAGTTTGCATTTAAAATTAGCTTAGAACTTTTCCAACAGTCTATTTTCGATATTTTTGAGTACTTAGTAGTACGGGGCACGTGGATATTATTCAAAATAGTGCAGGACCTGCGAGCAAAGTTCGGACTTCCTACAAAATGATTAATTTTTTCGTTACTATTGAATTCAATATAGCTAAATATACACATTTTACATAATCGCATCATACCTCATTCCTACTAGCTAGCTTGGGAATGGTATTCTTGTAGCTTTGGTCCAAATTGAATTTAATGTTTTAGAATTGGCGGAACTTTATAGCTACTTAGATATTCCAATGGACGTGCATATAATATCGTGTTTTTGAGCGTTTATTTCAATGGCATTCACTTCTGTTTAAAAAGCAAGTTATTTGCTTTTATTCATTTCACAGAAACTTTAAGCAGTTTGGATAGTATATAGATATAGATTAAAAATGGATAAATGTTGATAAAAGTTTTCTTTCTAAAAATAACAGTTTGTAACTAGTATTTGGTCAATTACAGACAAAAAATAAATAAGTAATTAGTTTCAAAGAGTCATGATAAAAGTTCCGAAACAATATCACCATATATGAGCTTCGATTTAAACCCTTCCTGAACAGAAAGGGTTTCTTGGGAAGCATATGGCTTAAAGCTAGTGTTCTTAGTGTGAACGGTTTTGAGGAGTATTTACTGTTAGGTCTAGTGTCAGAACATATGTCTGTATTTCTTCTAGAAAAGTGCATCTACACCTATAGGCAGATCATTCGTATATGTACATTTGTAAGAGAAGTTTCAAGTCTGTCAAACACGATGAATTTAAAATAAGTTCTAAATATTTCAAGCTGATTTTGATTAATGACAATATAATCTAAAGAGTAATAATTAACTTAATCACTTAATTAAGTAAACTGCAAAACTTTGAAAAAAAAAATATTTTAGGAATTTTTAGGAGGGAAGTACTCCTAGTATATTGCCTCCATAGT